CATTTTTGAGATGTCGCCTCCTGTCGGATCTGCTACGTCGTGTTAATGGAGCTAATCGGCATCTGTCCAGCATCCGTATGACTGGTCCCATGGTACGACCCATGGCCCCGACTGTCCTAGGCTGCATCGTTCATCGCAGGTAGCAGCGTTGATTCCCAAGAGAGCCCCATCCTATATCCTGCCCATGATACAGTTGTGCTTAACTGTGGTGTCGACTGTTCCCCCTGATGCCTCTGGGATGGCTACTGCCTCCATCCACTCACTCCTTGGACACTTCTCGGACTGGCTGCTTGGTGCCTTACGAGCCTATCTCTACTACGATGTCGTGGCCCGATACAGGGAAGCTGTCGCTGGAGTTGTTGCTGCTGTTATGTCCGAAGGTGGCAGACCCTTCAAGGCCCTCACGGAACTACAGCGGATCAGACGAGAATTCTTCCTCCGTCCTCTGAAGGACTTGCTGGGCTCCCAGGTAGGCTCGTCGATGTTCCTGGGCTCAACTGTATGTCTAAGGTCAACTTGAGAGAGCTCAAGTCCCGAGTGGACCAACTAGTCGGCTCAACTGCTGATGAGCTTCTTTTCGATCCTTCGGTTGGACCTGAAAGGTCCCTCGTATTGGGACCATCTGATGAGAGCGAGCATGAGAGAAAGCAGGCTCTGACGACCAGAGGGATCCAAGCCGTTCATCGGTTCGCAGGTAGCTCTGTTATCCTAGGGTTATCCTTCCCTGTGCGGTGTCCATCAGGCATCATACTGTCGGAGGCTCTCTCCACTATAGAGCTGGCCTTATGGCGCCTACGTGTCTCACCGTCCCAACAGTCCTCTGCGACCTGCAATGCCGTATTAGCTAGATTTCTACCACTGGTCAGTGGTCTGAGATGCTACTTGCTACCTTACCTGGAACAGCAGCTGCGGTCGTCGTCTTGTGGTGCATTCCTACGTTTCCTCGCACCCTTGAACGCCTCCTCCCCTCCCCTGCTTATCCCCCTGGCCCGAGACGAACTACGCATCCTCAGTGCGCAACTGCACGCCACTGCCTCGGAGTTCTTTGGCTTCACTTACTGTGAGCTCGCGCTGCAAGCAGGGGCAGGGCAACCTCGAAAAATCCTACCAGTCAGCGGCCGACTCTTCGACCTACTACCCCACCGTAAGAGCCACTCTACTACTGGTGGTTCGTCATGGCTCTCTGCTGTCCAGCATCCTCTCTACTACAGCTTCACTGTCGTCCCAGTGCCCTTGGAAACTCTGCCTCCTGCTAAGCGACTGCACTACGACCTACTGCTATCGGTCACGTCTCAATGCCCTTGGGGGGAGCATAGGGAACCCTTTACCATGGACGCCCGCAAATGGATGATGAACATTCCCGGTTTGGGCTCGAAAGGGGTCACTCGAATAGCCTTGCCGATGGATATCATGGACGACAACTTCACAGAGATTGATAAGGATATCGGCGATGTTCACGATGGGGCTGTTGATGAGGAGCTCTTGCCTCATCCTCATGCTGGTGGTCACCAATCGACTAAGCCTTCCCTGTTCTTCCACATGCTCCGACCAGGAAATGGAGGCGTGCTTACGGTGAGGCTCACCAAGATGCAGTTCTTTCACTACGTCCAGAGCACGTGTTCGAACCGTCGGATGCCAGCGGTCAGGCGATGGGCGTTCCTTGCCCTCATGCTCTTGGGGGGCGGTGGTGGTGGTTCAGGGACGACCCTCACCATTGCTGTCCTGAGTCGACTGCACGTTGTGAGGCCATTCTTTGCCCTCGAGGACAGCAGTGGAGATCGTAGCATACCAGAAGGGCAGCCTCGAATGCCTGTCGTTTGCCCTTGTGTCCGAGTGGCCGGCTTATCCAAGGTAACCCTTTCCAGTCACTAGCTGTAGCCCTGCTCCTTTATCCACCGTGGAGCCAGCCCTTCCGTCTCAGGGGGTATGCCTATTTGATAGCCACAGAGCCTCTCAGCCTCACAGAGTCCTTCGGCAACCCACTCTGGAGGAGCTAGGTGACGTCTTGGCTACTCAGCCGTTGTTCTCTCCTACCGCAATTCAGGCTCCTTATGGTCTCAGTCTGAGGCCTCGATGGAGATAGCCCTACCCACGGAAGATGTGTCGATGAGACTCTCCGATTTGAGGGATCTAGAAAGGAATGTAGGAGTGACCAACAGCCTTCCAACCATCACCACGATATCGGAGCAGATACGTTTCGATCTGCCACGCGCCGAGCCCAGCATGAGCATCGCCGTATTGTCTGCGGTGGGCAGCAAGCTATTGGACACATGGTCGAGAGTGAAGAATGCATGGGATGAGGTAAGGGATGAGGCTCCACGTCTGCTCCGTTGCAGTAGCGGATGGCTTAGGTGGACGATGATGATGAGGGCCTAGAGGTGGGCAGTGACTACGAAGGGTCTACTAACGATGAGGATGAGCGTGACGAGGAGCTACTGGCCCCTGATCCGAAGTGGGGGATAGAGCTAGCTGATGGGCCCCTCACCAACAAGAAAGAATCTGAGTGAGTACTCGAATGCCGAGATTCTGCTGCCAGGAAGCGCATCTGCTGCCCTCTGGTAGGGCTCCGGACTTCGATAGTGTTCGGATGCCAATACTAGCCTATCGCTCTGTTATCCCTTCAGATTCATGTGGGACTTCATATCACCACTAACGTCGCAGCTCCCACCAGGCTACGAGCCGGAGCCTGAGGAGGAAGTCGCAGATCACCAGCGTTTGTTGCCCAAACCGGACAGGGCCAGTGCACGAGAAGGGGTAACCTTGGTACACTGGGAGTGGCCTTCCATCCTCGTCTCAGACAAGTACATCAATGAGTGTTGGTGTCTCCTCATCTGCGGCGGCCATCGCATCAGCGACAGCGACATCTTCAGTGGTAGCTGGAGCGACTCCGATGGTGCACCATGCGGTTCGGTGTATGGGCTTACTGTATACGTCCTCGTATAGGTGTATACTTATGGTCCGATGACGCCTCCCAATAGTGTAACGTATGTCCCTATGTTCGAGTATAAGAACGGCAACATACTCATAGACCATTACCAGAAGGTAAGCAGCACTGAGACCATGTCGTTCCAACGATGCCTCGTCCTCTGTTCAGTTCACCGTCGCCCATCCTCCGTCTGTTTGGCATTGGGCGCCTCTGCCGACGCCAACCGTCCCCCAGTCGCCAATTGTCAGCCTGCCGGCGACTGCAGCGGCTAGTGCTCTCCTCCAGGTAAACGGCATGTCTATCGCTGGAGTAAGTTTTTTCTGATCTCGCAGGGTGGATTCGCCCTGGCAACGTCTCTCTATGACCTGCAGCATAAACGCTGCTCTAAGAAGGATGTGTACCGATGTGTGGTAGAGGCCGCTAGTAGAGGCTCAGCGGTCGGGGCTTGCTGTTGGACTCTCGCCAACGTTGCTGGGGTCACTAATGTGGCCATACTTTCTGGTCAGCGACCTCCTTCAGACTGTATTAAACCTCTTTTTGTAGGCACAGTTTCCCTCCTGTGGCTGGCCCTCAGGGCCCTCACTGTCCACTCTCGAGAACAGCTCTTGTCGGATGCCTGTGTTACTCTCAGTGGGACGGCAGCTGCGGTTGCGGGTGAGTGCATCCAGCTAGTGTCGGGATCATGCTCTCCCCAGTTTCCTCTCTCAACGACACTTGTCCCTCCTCTGCCTGCTGGCTGTCGTTGCTCTGTATCAGCAGTGGCATCGGCAGCAGCTAGGAGCAGAGCTCTATACGAGGATTCGGAGGTCACTCTCATTCGTGCATCGGTTTATTGATGACTTCGAGTCTTCAGATGGCGACAGGCTGGGAGTAAACAGCGCCTTGTACGTCTAGCCCGGATGATGCTGGGGCTACCGCGCGATGGCTCGGCCGACGAGAAGGTAATAGCCAAAGACAGGACACGTCCACACATGTTGGTCTCTTCTTTTTAGGTTGGTTCGCGATGGCGTTTCGTCGCCGGTATGGTCCATCCAGACAGACGCGGTGGTGACGGGATATCCAACGAGGACAAGAAGTTATTTGAGCTCTTTATGCTCTGCAGAGAGGTCGGCTGCCTTGTTAGAACTGCACTAGTCAATATTGACCAATAGCTACGAGACAGTTACAGTATCTAGTGGAGGTGCCTACTTCACTGGATACTGTAGTTGATGATCGCCCTGTCGCTCACTCTGGATAATCACAAATTGGGGGACTGTTCTCTAGACAAAAACAGTGTACACTTTCCGATTCGAGCAAGAGGGATGTTATTAGTACGGTGCTCAAGTGCACGACCAAATAATTCAGATTGTCAAGCTATCCCTTGGAGAGCGACAGGCAAGCAAGGGTAAGAAAGCTGACGCTGATCAGGCGGGCGAGGTGAGCCTTCGTTCTTTGAGTGCTTCCCATCCACCCATCAGGGGCCACTCTATCTTGAGGATGGGACTAGATTGGATAACTCAGCAGCGGTCGAGGAGCCTTTGACGTCCATCGAGACAATGGTTGGTGCCGTGCAGGTGAGAATAAGGTTAGGCCTGTCAGTATTGTACGACTGCCTCACACATCCTTAGCGATTTGCATATATGGCGATTGTGGAGCCCCAGCTGCAGCATCAGCGGAGAATTGAGTCGGATCTGCGTAGGGCTGTACATGAGACGGTGCCCCGTGGAGTTGATGGAGAGGAAGTTCTTGATTGATTTAAGACGTATTGGATTATTAATGTTTGTGTGATCTTAAGCTGAATTTATGGAGATATGTCATTTGATCTGTGTTAAACAATGCCTTCGACTTCAAGTCACTTGTTCCTCACGGCGGGGGTCCACCATGAGTGGTAATCACCTCAATCCTGCTCATATACCAGTAAAAAACTCACCGCGATGAACACTCGGAGCGAATCACGATAAACGAGTGTCAATCGACTTATGGTTCGCGTATTACGATTCTATCTCAAGAATGCCTCGTACTCATCTTCTTGATGTTAGTCGATTAGTGGACTGGTTTCACATTCAAATTATTCAGCATCGACATTGGGCATTCATATAGCCTGTCCAGTGGCTTCGATGGACCAGCGTGCTTTATAATGGTTCGAGGTGAAGTCGAACAGTTCCAGTACTAATTCAGCTGAACAATCTAAACATTGCTGCGATCTCGGACGTGCAAGTCAGAGTTATTCACCCCCATGATAAACTCTAGGTTGATGTTATTCATCCTCATGATCGGCTGTGATTACTCTCTTCCGGTTACACTCGAGTTGGAATCTGTTTGTAGCTGTATGTGAGAGGTGGTCACGAAAAGACCCGCGAGAGCGCCTTCATTCTTCCAGCCTGGGACTTCCAGGGATTTGACCATCGCGCGAACGCAAAATTTCATGAAGAAACGTGTGGAGTTTGTCCACCCCTTGTTGCTGGAAATATCATCACTTAACGCACCGTCCGCAACCCGTTAATATTCTCCCCCAGGCTGTAGCTATTAGTTGTGCGGGTCCCCACTACCCAATCGAATAGTCAGCATGATGAGCAGAAGCTATGTAAATCGGTAGGGATCATCCTGACCATATCCGCGGATATGAGAGAGGTCGATTGACAAGATTACAGCCAGCGGCGTGAGTGCCGTACCGGCACTTCGTGTGCAAAGACTCGAGTTAACAAAACACCATCCCCATCATTGTGGAATTTATCTTGGCATGGTAGCATACGATAATGTTGCCATGAGATGACACTTTATCGCAAACTCATTCGCTATCATCCGTTCGGCTGCTGAGACTCGTCACATGCACAAAGTGTTTCCCACCAAACCGTGCCTGAAGGGACAAGTCTGCGTGCACCGGCCAAACTGTCGCTATACATTCATCCAACGGGGCTGCACTGCAGATCGTATTTGTATCATCTATAGCAGTGGACCGCATCACAGATGTATCCTCGGTATCGCTATTATGCTCGAGTGAGCCTTCAAATCTGCGACCATGAGATCCTCCACTGCGGGACTATAAATGACCCCACCGGCATAGTAAGCATGGTAAAACCTGTGGTGGTGCCCCCTTCCCCTTAGTACTCCTCTGGGAATCCGAACTCTGTTGGTATCTGAGCACGACTACAAGCAATGTGCATTCCCAAAGCTCTCACAGAGCTATCAGCTCCTTCACGCATAGGATGTCATCATCGATTCCATTAATCTCCTGCTCACAACTGGAGCCACTCCGTTGGCTGATGGACCGGGCGCTGCCGGTCCCCGATCCTGCCGATAGTCCCCATCCCTGTTCCGAATCTTTCGGGTGTGTAGTTGGAAGCCCCAACCTGTCACACAACATAGAAGTTCCTCTACAACACCAGCGGGCCGCTCCTCATGGCCCTCCGGCATTCACCGCTGGCCAACACTGTACAGCTCATTACCTCTCCATGAGAGGGTCTTCCTTTGGCCTGGAGATGTGCTTCACCTAAGAGAGCTATCCAACTCCTTTGATGGGCTTTATGCTCTTCGTCTGGGCTCCACTTTTCTCTTCCATTCCATCAACTCCTTGCATTTAATCAGTTGCTCATACGCCACCGTGAGCTGCCTCTTGTCGAATAAGACAACTGCTCGCTCATACGAATGCTTCACCGAATGCGGCCAGCGTTCAAGATTTGCTTGTGTTTCCTGCATAAGCATATCCCCTCACAGAGCCTCCCTTGGCTCTCCAACCTGATCCCTCTCTTTAAAAGAGGTCGACACTGTCTCTATCGCATGCATGTTATGCAGTGCACAACCAAGAGGTAGTCCAAACTTCTCCAACAGCTCCCCGGCTAGATAACTCTCGGACAGTGCAAGCGAGGCCTTGCCAGCGTCCCAGTACCTATCCTCATTACTAGTCCATGTTCGCTCAAGTCGTACTGCTGACCGTATCGCCAAGTTGAAATGACCGATGATCGTCCTGATTGGCATGACCACACGTTCAGGAGCTTGCACGCGCCCCTCTGCCTCGCGAAGCTTGGCGATCACCTCCTCGTCTCGAGGCCGTATACGAAAGCACTCACGCCATTCAAATACCTAGCAACGCCGCATGGGCCACTAGAAACGAGGGAGAACTAACAGCTAGTCGCCATTCGCTGTTCCTCTCGTGTGCTAGAGCAGCCTCTTTATGGGTCACAAATCTGGTATATGCCGATGGATGAGTAGACGCCGTTACCGTTACTGCTGCATTTGTATTAGACATGAACTACAGTGCGGATCATAGGTGTACATGTTTGGACCTTCCAGGGGAGGCAGTAGCGCTGGGCTACCCCAAGTCTTTACGAACACAAAGCATGGGCTCCTTTGACATGAGAAACAAAGAGTGGCCTACAGAGATGATAACTGCGCCTCGTGAGGTGTACGCTGATTTATCGTTCTTACGACAGCCGATATATCCCTGCATAGAGAGGCCTTTATGAATCGGGAAAGATGGCGAGACCCACTTGAAATTGGGGTGGTCCTTCGTACGCATCATATCGAAGAGGATGCTCTCACTGGTAGTCAGGACCGCTCCTGCTCGCGAGAGACGTTCGAAGGCTGTCGATCTGTCCAGCAAACGACTGGCGGAAACGCCATCTGTAACCACGAACCTGCAGGTGATAGGGCTGAGTCAATAAAGACAGGGATGAGCCTACAGAGTGGCATCTGGACGGTCTGTGAGAATATCCAATGCAGTTTGCATGATGCAGACATGAGCCTCGATACCGCACAAAATGAACTGATCTCTTCTGAGATGCACAACATCTGCATTGAGCAGATCTGAGTGACTCACTCATGGAAATGAGTATCCAAGTACTTCTTCACCTCCTCAGTCATCATAGTAAAAGGTTTCTTGGCAAACACTGGACAGCCTTTGATATCCAAGGCGGCCACCGACCCTCCAAGCTTCTCAGGATACTGCTCTGAGAGACCAGTCGAGGACATTGACGATGAGCTTCTCACCTGTAACGACTACGGGGAAGTCGAGAACTCTGGAGGCGCTGATGAGCGTGTTAGCTGTCTGAACGATGTGTGGCTGAGCACAGCAGTAAATGAATCGATAAATGGGTGGTAACCTACCATATTCTGAATCGTCTTGGCGAAGGCATCCTGCAAATCACATACCAACAACACCGCTTTCTTAGCAGAGGATCGAGCCAGGATTTTACTCACCATACAATGAGGAGGCAATTAGAGAGTAGCCAGCGGCCCAAGTAGTTCCCCGTGATTGAGCAACACAAACCAGTATGCGGTAGAACACGATCACAGAAAGGAATGTAGGGCTGTTGAGGATTGAACACTGATCACTGCGAGCTGCTGACATTAGAGTCCTTGTAGTTGGTCTTCATAGGATGTCCTCGAATTGATTGTTCGGACTATAGCAGAAAGCTCCCTGACAAATAGCACAAGTCAATATTCATCTCGGGGTAGATGGGATCATTGCGAGATACCCACCCCTTGGGACTTACTTGAAGTTGGCATGATCCTTAGTCCGCATCATGTCGAAGATAAGACCCTCACTAGTGGTCAACACTGCACCCACTCTAGACAGACGATGCAGGGCAGTCGATCGATCCAATAGGCGACTCGAAGATATGCCATCGGTGACCAAGAACCTAAGGCGACACAATGATGCGACGCCAATGAGGAACGACTGCCCTCACTACACAGTAGAGTCAGGGTGTCCAGACAGTATGTCCAGAGTTGTCTGCGCTATGCAGATGTGCGACTCGATGCCCATAAGAATGTACTGATCACGCCTGGAAGGAAAAACAGCCGGTGCTAGATGCACAACATAACTGTGGAGATGACAGAGCAAGCGCGTACCCTCGGCATTCCTTCTCGAGATATTCCGTCACATCATCCGTCATCATGCTAAAGGCGTGCTTGTTGAAGACTCGACAGTGAGAAGTGTCAAGCTCGGGCAACGTGTGGCCTAGTTTCTCTGGGTATTGTTCTGATAACCAAATCATTGCACTATACACTTCATTTCAGTACGCTAACGTATCAATGAAAATCCTCAACCCCGAAAGTGCCACCCCCCTCCAAACACTACCAGTAACAACGCCTGGTATGTTCAAGATCTTCGCGGCATTGAGGAGTGTATTGGCGGTCTCCACAACATGAGGCTGACCAAGCGAGCGAATAACAACAGCACTCAGCTACTACAACCACCCTACCATCTTTTGTATAGTCTTAGCAAATACTGGCTGCATGTCACACATCATGAACACCGACTTAGCGGCACATGCCCTGACCATGTTGCTAGTCGCTGTTGGAAAGACATATTTCGAAACTCAGTAGTGTAACAAAAACTGACCGAAGACCTGATGGGTCCACAGCACGATAACACTAGTCGTGGTATTGTGAACACAACTCCGGTGAAGGTCTACATGGGGACATGAACAAAAATAGATCTCTTCCTCGAGAAGTCACTGCAGTAGTGATTGACCAGTAGTGCAGAATTAGGCGACTGTCTATGTCGCATGCCACCAAGAGCGACGACCTTCTCTCGAATATGACCTTGCGCACAGTCCGAAAGTACACAAAAATAGCAAGAAATAACGCAAAAAATAGCACGCACTTTGACCAGATGGTAGTAGTAGTCGACTTATTCTACTGAATGACTAAATGAAGGCTAGACTTTCAAAAGAGAACTACTGAATGGTATGAGTTGAGGAGAATTAGGATACCACTTATCGATGTTTATGGATGTCAACTGACAGGTATAAACGAGCACTACAGTTGATGATGACTACTGCTTCTATCTGATGGAACAACATCTCCACTTGACACATCATAGCCTTCCTTGGCTATGACCTCGGATGGCGAGTACGTCGCTATGCTACCCCTCCTATTCGAGGTCCCACTTGTACGAGGGGTCTTGATACGAGACCGGCGAGCAGAATTAACTACAAGGAGACTACTATCCATGTGTGATACGATAGATGTCGTCCTTACCTGTAGCACTCAACTGTGGTTGCCTCTCCGGAGTGCTGAGCTTGTCTATGGTATCACTCTCCTCCCAGACCCGAAACCAGTCCACGTCCATATGGGGTGGGCATGGTGGGATGTCACGTATCTCATCTTCCCTAGTACCTACGAGAACCTCTACTAAATGATGACTGTATCCGCGGTGACCACCTATTTTGATATTTTCCCTCTCGAAACTGTATACTAGAATGTTCTGGCAAAGTGCTCCCAAACGGAAAAGGAGTGCACTAAGGCGATACCAGGGGAATGCAATAAACCTGCAAGGCTCCACCAGTACATAAACTACGTGCCATATGCTCACGTAAGGATCCCAGCCCTAAGCTCTTTCCTTATCCGCAGCACGACGAGTTGGAAGACGATAAGCACAGAATAGAGTACAATAGCATTGAGACCAATCATCACTATCAGGCCCAGCCAGTCTCGTAGGAGTAAACCACATACCAAGAAGACTCTCATCCAGTCTAGGGCGATGGCTAGTAACTGAGATATAAAAGCGTATTGTGACTGAAAGGAGGTCGACAATGCTGAAAGAGCAGTCCCGTGGAAAGCAGATACAGTCCGTATCGATACACAGAGAGCGCGATACACTCCCGGACGCGAAGTTAGTCGGCTTGTAAGTCAGCAACACCGGGGCGTTTGAGTTTTAACGTGGTGATGTAATCCTTGGTATTAGCTAATACCGAGATGACTTCACAAACGGCCACAACACGCAACGCTCGAGTAACTTTCGCGAAATGCTTCTCCTTTCGAGCTCATGGTATATGAGCCGTCATGTACATATAGACACTCCATCGAAATACCCAATATTTGCAGTAAATTCCGGCACCGCCTTAAGTATTAAGGCCCCCGGTTTCAAGAACATATAATGCCCTAGCCGTGGCCCCTTGATATTTCATTAACCAGGGACCGATCAGACCACATTGCGTCAAGAATCACCGAGTTCTAAATAACCCTGCCCCCTTCAAAGTTACCTCTTGAAGAAAGTACGGCTTAAGCGCCCAACTGGGACCATGACATAGCGAGGACGGGTTCACCAACTCGAACAAGTAAGTGAAAGTCTTCTTGTGGGAAGTCAGCTCCCATGACTTAACCCTTTGACGGAACAAGAACTAACACCAGGCTACTACCGATACCGAAGAGCATAGCAAAGCTACTACCTTCCAAGAAGCAGGAGCATATGTTGGTACGAGAGTCTGCGCACATGAGATGATTTTAGAGTTGTCCCTTTTTTTCAGCAACAGCAACCCCATATACCTAGCGGAGATCGTCATCACCTCTTGCCTCCACAAGATGCCGAGGGTCTCACATATCCTCCCCGTTAAAAACGGTATCGTGCTCGAATAGTATATCATCCAAAGACTCCCGATCCCACAAAGCGATCGCCCCATGACACGATAAGCACCTATGTGTACAATAAGGACCCTCGGGACCCTGAGGACTTCCAACCTCGAAAGCATAGCTTGGAATAACTTATGTACTGCAGCCATCTTATATTCAACGTCCTGACATTGTAAAAGCAAATTAGGGCTCCCATGAGGAGACACTGCGGTAATAGGGAAATGTACCTTCAGCAGATCATATACCACCGCTGACCGTATACCATATTACCGCCTTAATATCAACGTTTTTATCTAGCTGATCTCGAGGAATGTGCAAATCATCGGGCAAAGGCACATCGTCATCAATGATCAACGCGTATCTGCAGACCCTGTGGTCACTGGGCGTCGCGCTGTGACTACCTGAAATTCGCCGTTCTTCCTGTTGAAGCTAGATAGGGTATCCAATAACGATTGCACCAATAAAAAGCGAAGGTCTTATTGCCTTCAGGAATATATAGATAATTTATATCGGGATGGACCTACCATAACTCGCTCTAAAACTCCCTTAGATCGATGCAATACCTGTAGAGTAGCCCATTGGGTCTCATCTTGAGGGTGTAACGAGGGCCCATTATCACATACAAAGATGTGACTCGGCGGGAACACAGCTAATG